TATTTAGTCTGGAGAAGAGGAGGCTGAGGGGAGACCTGATCGCCCTCTACAACTACCTGAAAGGAGGCTGTAGGGAGGTGGGGGTCGGCCTCTTCTCCCTGGTAACAGATGATAGGACGAGGGGGAATGGTTTGAAGCTGCGCCAGGGCAGGTTTAGGCTAGACATTAGGAAAAACTTCTTCACCGAAAGGGTTGTCAGGCTCTGGAATGGGCTGCCCAGGGAGGTGGTAGAGTCCTCATCCCTGGAGGTATTTAAAAGAAGGATAGATGAGGTGCTTAGGGACATGGTTTAGTGGTGGGATGTCAGGGTTAGGTTAAAGGTTGGACTCGATGATCTCAGAGGTCTTTTCCAACCAAAGTCATTCTATGACCGCATAGCCAAAGTCACATAGATATTAATGTATTTGGCTACAGTCTTGTATCTGGTATGTGAACATCTGCAGTGACCTGAAGTGACCTAGGGAATTCTGATAAGCAAGAAAATAAAGACATGTTTTTAGAAAACAGTGAGTAGATATCTAGAGTAGTGTCCCAGTGTGGGGGGGTCTGTGCCAGTCTGAAAGGGAACCAACAGAAAGATACACATTCTGACTCACAGGAAAAACAGTGCTCAAAAGAAATACCAGCAACACTGTCATCATCTTTATACTCCTGTCTTGCTTTATAACTTTTGGTGGTTAATAGTAACTGCTATTAATTACTAAAAGTAGTATCTACTTAGCAATACAGTTCACAGCAGCAGTGTGTTAACACCAAACAATCTGCTTATGAAGCAGTGTTGTATTTGAATGGCAACATAATATATGTAGTTAAAAAAGGGTGGGTGTTTTCACCATTGTCCTTCCTTTTGTGCCTTTTTCTTGCTTTCATAAACACTTCTTAAAAAGTGGCACTCTGGTCTATTGGTTTGGTCATAGTTGCAAAGACTTCATATTGTGGCAAAAAATTCCTTGTAAGGAAAGGAAGAATGAGTTATAAGGAACCAGACAGAGCTTCTTTGTATATATACATATTTATACACACACAGACACATGTGTTTTCCATGGGGAAGTGGCTGGAGAAAACAGAGCTTGGGTCCTGTGAAGCCTCATATTTATGCAGCTATTAGATGCAACTTTCTCAAAAGACTGTCAAGGACCTCACACACAGGACCTTATCATTATATTCTTATTTTTATATATATATATGAATACTGGAATGGAGGGTGCAAAGAGGATGGAGGCATGCTCTTTCCACTGGTGCCCAGTGACCAGAGGCAATGGGCACAAACTGAAACACAGGAAACCCTCTGAGCATGAGGAAACCCTTTTTCACTGTGAAGGTGACTAAGCAGTGGTACATGTTACTCAGGGAGTTTGTGGAGTCTCCATTCCTGGAGATATTAAAAAACTGTCTGGACATGATCCTGGGCAACAGGCTGCAAGTGGCCCTGGCTGAGGAAGGGAGTTGGACCAGATGACTTCCAGACATCCCTTCCAACCGAGACCATTCTGTCCTTCTGTGGTTCTGTGACCAAGAGACAGGATCACAACAGATGGTCAAGCCTACCTCTACAGTTCCTTCACCCTTTGCCTCCATCCAGAACTGATTCTAACAGTACAATTGTAGAACAGTTGTGTAAGTGACTTGAAAAAAAAAGGGAACAGAAAGTGCCCAAGCACAACATTTTGCAGGAGAGGAAGTTAAATTCTTAGGAGACCAAAAAAAATGAAAAGGGATCCAGATAGGCCACATATATTAATATATATTAAAAATAGTCTATATCTATTTAAAAGTATCAATTAATAGATTCTAAGGTATTTATTTTTCCCATTTTTTCTTATCCTTTCCTTTAAAAATTTTTTTCATGGTGAAGAGAGCCACTGAATGACTTCCCATTTTGAAGTCTCATTTTATTTTCAACAAAACATGCCACTAAGGAGAAATAGCCTAAAAACCAAGGACCAAACAACTCCTGCTGTGCAAACTGCCAGACTGCTCAGGTAGTTAACCGTGATAGCAGGGTGATGCACCAAAAGCCTGTAAGCCTGTACTCTGCTCTCAATCAATGCTGCTGAGACACACACACACATATACATGCACAATTTTTTTTTAATTTAACTTTTCCAGTTCTGACTTTATGATAAAAATTTTCTTTCTGAGACTACATGATCCAAAATGCACAAGTATGACAAATTCACTCAAATTATGCAACCACTCTGGAATCCCCATAAACATTAAAACAGTATGTGGTAGCAGATTTTTTTTCTGAACAAGAGCTGCTTAGTCCAGTTTTGAAGCAGTTGGTAAAGTGTCTGCTAACAGCAGGACCTTATGCTGCTTGATTCAACTTTGCCTATGTGGCAGCTACAGATATTTAAGACTAGAGATTGGATACTCATTTATTTCCTTTAAGACAACTCTGAAATAATCACTTGTATTTGTACTTAGTCTAGTAGCGGGACAGAATGAAAATACAAGC